AGGCACTGCACTTGAAGAACCGACAGAAGCGTGAGGTACAGCTCTAGGAGGTACAACTCCAGGAGGAGAAGAAGATGGTCCCATGGCAGAAGGCTCCGATAAGGTCAATTGAGGTCTTCCTTGCCACATATTTGTAGACAGACAGACAAAAAAAAAACAAAAGTTTCAACCTTTGAATTTTAAACTTGAAATGGAGACAAAACCGAAAACAAAACTTGAAATCAAAACCCACACTTTTAGAAGTAAACCCTAACTAAACAAAAACCAAAACTTGAAATCAAAACCCTAGGAAGTTAAAATCGAATGTTGAAATCCAAACCCTAGATAAACATGCAAATCGAAACTGGAAAAAAAACCCAAGGTTTTAGATGTAAATCGAAACCTAGATCGAACCCCTAGGAAGTCTAAATGTACAGCCAGATGTTCCATAACATCGAAGAAAGACGGTGGAAAAATTTTCTCCAAATTGCAAAGCTTCACCGCAATGTTTTATTTCAAAATGGCAACATCTTCATGCTTAAGTATTTTCGCAGAGATATCAGGAAAGAAAAGTGATATCTCTACAAAAAATAATAGGACTTAGTCAATAATAACACATATTAAACTAATTATTAAGATTATGTACATGAAATGGCAATGTGAACACTTTTGGGAAGTAATTCCTTAAACGCAAATGGAAGAAGTCGCTGCATAATTACGTGACAATCATGACTTTTCACATCGAACTTCATGTTGATGTAGCAGTTGATTCTCTGAGTGTTTACAATTTATAAGAAGGAGAAGAAGAAGAATTATGAATATAATTAACTTGCTCTGTTTTATGAAAGAAAAAACAGAGTATCACTTTTATTGCATTACACTCAATTTTTTTAATTGTTTTATGAGACAAGATTTGATATATATTTATAGAGAATGAACAGGTGTGTTGAAACAACACAACTCTTTGTTGTAAAGACACAACTCCTAATTCTAAAGACATAACTCTTGATTGTACAGACACACCTTTACATTCTAAAAGACACAACATGAAGAGTCACAACTCTTTGTATATTAACGAACTAATTTAAATGTACTAAGGAGAGATTTGATTATATAATTTAACATTAGTAACGGTCGAGATTGATCCCTACGTGAAAATTAGGGTCCGTGGTTTGGATGATACGTGGATGGTTGCGGAAACGAAGCATGATTCTATGTTCTTTTCGAGACTTTTGATGAGATCCATTGAAGATGATTTCTCTGCGTAGAGACGGTGTTTGGAATCTCTCATGAGAGAGACGGAACCGAAACCACCTCGGCCAAGAAAAGAGACGAACTCTAGTGAAGAAGAGTCGTCAACAACAATATTATTGTGTTCTCTAATCATTGTTTTCTTCGACATATTGTTTCTACAAATTTAGAAATCGCTCTATAGCTTTTGTGTGTTTGGTATGAGACATTGTATTAATGATTAATATATGCTTCGAAGTGAATCCTCCTATACATTAAAAGAGAAGTCACTTTGACACGTGGCACTCACACAGCCCTTCTCAGAAGAATTCTAGCGATTCTATTGGTTGATTTTTTAGAATTTATTTTTTTATTTATTTTTACCATCGACAACCTAATAGGAAAGCAACACTAATTACTAACCTTATTACATATTACTTGCACAAGAATATTAATTAATACATGTATTAATAAGTTTCCTTATTACAAATACGGTAAACCATTTACTCTTGATATCATATTGATTACATTGTTTAATGACATTTAACAATTTGTATCTAATTAGGAAACTNAGAATGCTTTCATATGTATTTTTCTATTGGTTTTTTAATTTACAATTTTAGTTTATATGCGCAGACCAACGATTATGACGTTTCTTCTTGTGGATCCATATGTACTTAAATCTCTCTTCACATTCATGTTATTCAGAGACATGAGCATTACAAATGATCATATCATCCAAAACACGTAAACTACAATGTAAGTTTCATGTTTTGTTACTTTCTCTATGTTTTTCAAATAATTATTTGCTTATACACTAAAGAAAAAAAATCTTTAATCAATATTTTACTATTAAAGTTAGTATAACTTTTTATACATTTTATCAACTTTGTACTCAAATATGATTTTATACAATTTATCATATTATAAAATGTATATCCTATAAATTCATATATGTAAACTATATATTTCTTTTTTTTGTTATCTTTTTTTTTTGTCATCATAAACTATATAGTTCTATGTCAATTATAATATAACTTTATAAAATTTATCACATAATAAATTATGTATATAATTCAGAGTTAGAATATGATATGTGTAACATTTTTGTATATATTTCTAATACTAATGTTAGAATTAAATCGGTTAAATACAAATTACTATAATAAATATAAGTGATAAAACATAATTATTATATATTTCTATAGATTTACAATATATCAAAATCAAAACTATTTATTATTCTTTAATTTTATAACCATATTATGGTATTAGGAAAGATATACCTTGTTGGTAAAGGCTTTTAATTAGTTAATTCGTTTATTAATAACTTGCCTTATTTTATTATCAATTACTTGCNTATTTATTATTCTTTAATTTTATAACCATATTATGGTATTAGGAAAGATATACCTTGTTGGTAAAGGCTTTTAATTAGTTAATTCGTTTATTAATAACTTGCCTTATTTTATTATCAATTACTTGCGCAAGTTGAAATTATGTTTACCTTATTTTGCCATCAGTTACTTGTCTTAAATGGTTTTATACATTTTATCAACTTTGTACTCAAATATGATTTTATACAATTTATCATATTATAAATGTATATCCTATAAATTCATATATGTAAACTATATATTTCTTTTTTGTCATCTTTTTTTTGGTCATCTTTTTTTTTTGTCATCTTTTTTTTGCCATCATAAACTATATAGTTCTATGTCAATTATAATATAACTTTATACAATTTATCACATAATAAATTATGTATATAATTCAGAGTTAGAATATGATATGTGTAACATTTTTGTATATATTTCTAATACTAATGTTATAATTAAATCGGTTAAATACAAATTTCTCTATTAAATATAAGTGATAAAACATAATTATTATATATTTCTATAGATTTAAAATATATCAAATCAAAACTATTAATTATTCTTTAATTCTATAACCATATTATGGTATTAGGAAAGATATACCTTGTTGGTAAAGGCTTTTAATTAGTTGATTTGTTTATTAATAACTTGTCTTATTTTATTATCAATTACTTGCGCAAGTTGATAAGATGATTAACTTATTTTGCCATCAGTTACTTGTCTTGAATGGTATGTTAATTATTGCAAATTTATGACAGTCAATTTTTAATATCTTTCTTTAATTGCTTCATGTTTATTAAAAGAAAACAAATATTACAAGAACCATAAGACTTTATATATCTCAAGAAATGTCTTTACAAGAATTTTTATAACAAATATTTCAGGAACCATAAGAC